TCATTGTCCCAATGTCTGAGTTGATTGGCATTTCAATTCCCGCTAACTCAAACAGTGATCAGACGATTACACGAGGCAATAAACCATTTATTAGCTTCGTCACTGACTATTTGGAGTTCACATCCATAGTACAAACATTCACCCCCCTCACAACGAAGAGCTCTGTTTATTTTTGGACGCCGGGAGTTACAATGTAAAAATCGGGACCGAAAAAAATTAAAACGCTTTTTTAAAGCTTAAATTTTATCCAAAATAAAACTTGCCTGTACTTTTTAATTTTCATGTGATTTAGTTAAGGAAAAGCAACCGATCAACGATTTTGCAAGGTTAGTTTTACGTGAAAGCAGTGAATAAAGCAAGCTGCTTAAACAGCCTTAAAGTTCTTTAGTTTAACATTTTCTCGAGGTCCCCATTTTGACAACAGGATCAAATATGAGCCAAGAAATCCCGACCGACCCAAGTCAACCCTGAAGACATCTCGATTGGGTGAAGTTTTCCTTCTAGATAACGAAACTTAAATCAAGTCTAAGATATCCTTTAGGGCAATCCCGGTTTTTCCTCCGTCGAGCATCACCCAACCCATCCGATTTGGGCGTTTTCTGTAAAAAATTATTTCATGAAAGGTATAAATGATGAAGTCAAACGGTTTTTTTTAACTGACCTGTAAAATATACATTGTGAGACCATTATCTTTGCCAGTTTTTCACGGTCAAGGAAAATGAATACTGCAAGGTTCCATTTGATTTCTACCACGAAATCGATAACCTGAATTTAACCATCTTCTCGAGTTGCTCTGATCCACCCAAGGACAAGGCTGAAATTCAGGCTATGCTTAGGCGCCAAGAGGGCCTCCTAGTTCCAGGCTCCTCGGGGTTTTGGCATTTTGCCTGGAGAAGGCGCCTTCTACTCCGATCCGACTGACCGACCCAACTTCAACGCTAAAATGTTTTTTTTAAGGACGTTCGCGTGAAGATTTTCCAGTCGATAGATTTTTTCTAAATTTCTACTGCAGTCAGAAAATGAGTTACTTGTGTTAGAAATGCAAAAAAATTGAGGGTCACCGACTTTGTTTCAGAGATAAAACGTGTGGAAAACTACCCTGATTTTGAAAAATTGGCGCACGTAATTCAGCAGGGTCTACAGAGGTTTATAGTTAAAAATATCGAAGGTTATAGTTAAAAATGTAGAAGTGGGTATGTTCGGTAAATAATCTCAAATGTTGCCAACGTTTTTACTGAGGCATTTGAAACCGCCGCACAAAAACGAAGAGCTAAAAATTACGGAATTCGATGGTGCATCTTGCAAAAAATTCAAACTTCTAATCGATATATTTTCATTTTTTCGTTAAACGTAGAAACTCGCCAGAGAAAATGATCCATCAAAAGAGAAATAGGGGTCACCGAACGTCCAAGATCGTTAAATCCAGGCAAAGCTATAGCAATATATATACAATATACCTGATATACCCAATCGTACCTTTTTGGTACACTTCGGCGGCATATCAGGCGACGTTGATCGAGCCCTCGT